TTATTTGGGGTGCGAAATTATTGTTCAGATAGTTACTTAGGGAAACCACTAATGCATATTTTGTCAACTGCATGCCATCCACGTTTTTTGATTTTTTAAGTACAAATTACTTTCATATACGAACATAATTTTTGACACGATTTGAAAGGCTAATCATCTAGTAATTTATAATATGGTAATTCTGCTTCAAAATCAGTGTCCGGGAAAAATATTTTACCGCGTAGTATGCGGGAAAGTGCTACTTTGCGTATGCTAAAGTGTGCACAAATACGTCGGCGTTTTTTTTCTATCACACTTCTCTTTAACATATTAATATAATTTTGCAAACTCAAAAAACAGAGCGCTGTCGCCGCCGCAATTTCTACGTTACTGATGGAGAGCAATAGCAATGCGAGGCGCAGTAGCTGCATGTAAACGGTCACTTGCTTCTACAGCTGCCGTGGAATTATTGAGGGCAGGACAGCGGGCAGCGCGAGTAGCAGCGGCAGTGGCTGCATGTAAAGGGGGTATAAAACTCCTTATCATGACAGTGCCTTCACGTTGTTCCGTTTTACAGCAGTGCTTACAATCGGTTTGACAGGGTCTTCTGGATAAACCGTCTGCGTTACCATGCATTTTTCCAGCACGATGTTGGATGGTAAAGTGATACTGTTGGAGCTTCTCGAGCCATCGTGCTATTTGACCTTCAGGTTGTTTCATCTCCATAAGCCACTTGAGAGCCGCATGATCTGTCCTAATTAAAAATTCTTGGCCGTACAGATATTTATGAAAATGATCAACTGCCTTCACAATTGCTAGCAGCTCCTTCCGGGTAACGCAGTAATTCCTTTCTGGTTTGGATAGAACTCGACTGTAATATTCTATCACTCGTTCTTCGCCATCTTGCACTTGTGATAGCACTGCACCTATGCCGATATTGCTGGCGTCGGTATCCAGGATATACCTCCCTTGTTGTTGCGGGTAGGCTAGAATAGGACTTGAACATAAAGCCGCCTTAAGTCTTCCAAAGGCTACATCACAATCGGTGTTCCATTCGTAGCCGACTTCATCACCTGTAAGTCTATGTAAGGGTGCAGCTATATTGGCAAATCCCTTGACAAATCTTCTGTAATAGGTGCATAAACCCAGAAAACTTCTAAGTTCATGTTTGTCGCGAGGTTTAGGCCAATCCTTGATTGCAGCGATTTTCTTCTGGTCGGTGTAAATTCCGTCTGCTGAGACTACATGGCCCAAAAAATTCCACTTGTCGCTGGAATAAGCTACACTTCTTCGGGTTCAAGTACAGGTGAGCATTCCGTATGCGGCCGAAGACTTCTTCTAAATTCGCAAATGCTCCTCAAAAGTTCTTCCCATAACCAATACATCGTCGAGGTAAACCAAGCACGTTTTCCAAGTTAATCCTCTTAACACCACCTCCATGAGACGTTCGAAAGTGGCTGGAGCATTGCATAATCCAAACGGCATGACCTTGAATTGGTATAGTCCGTTTCCTGTAGAAAAAGCCGTCTTTTCTTTGTCTTCCTCGTCCAGACCAACTTGCCAGTATCCACTCTTTAAGTCGAGAGTGGAGAACCAGCACGAACCTGCCAGTGTGGTTAACGTGTCGTCTATACGTGGCAGTGGGTAGCTGTCCTTCTTAGTGACGTCATTGAGCTTCCGATAGTCCACGCAGAATCGTGTACTACCATCTTTCTTCGTCACCAAAACAACAGGAGATGACCATGGACTCGATGATTCTTCGATAACTCCATCTTCTAGCATCTTATCTACCATTGTCTCCATTTCTTGTTGTTTGGAAAGGGGCACCCTTCTAGGACGTTGTCGAATCGGCTGAGCATGACCAGTATTAATCCGGTGCTTCACAAAATCCGTTCTTCCACTGTTGTTCTTTTCAAAAATACTGCCATGCCTAAACAGGAACTCCTTAGCCTTCTGTTTCTCCTCAGATGTTAGGTGATCCCATGGCTGCTCTAGATGTTTTAGTGTTTCTTTGGATGCCATTTGTGTAACAGCTGACGGCACTTCATCACATCGGGTGACACTTCTTACAGGTTCGCAGATGGCTATCTTGTCACCTTTTTGAATCTTGACACAATTCGGGAAAACATTCGCAACTCTGATCGGTATATTCTTGTCGGTGTTCACCAATGATTTTCCTACTAAGTACCTATCTTGTTTCTTGTCGACACTTTGTACCAGTCCAACACAGCACCCAGCGATTTTCTCCACTTTACCGAATACGATCTTCTCGGTATTACCAGGTATCACCACAGTTTCCGCTGATCTTACATCCATTCTGCCTGGTCCCTCGTCTGGAGATAACATGAACTCTTCATTTCCAATATTTAAGATATTTCTCTGGTGATCGAACGAAAATCCATGTTGACGAATCACATCCATGCCCAAGATGAAGTCATCTTCAATATCTGCCACTAAGACGCTATGTGTCGCGTCGAAAAAACTACCCGTCTTAACAACACGTCTCCTTGGAAATGAAAGCCGTATTTATTTACATATATACAACCTTTATTAAATACTGAGCTTACTTGCAACTAATAATAAACCAAATCCACGAATAAATGATTAATTAAGAAAGAGAATGGAAAAGCGTAAATTATACAAAACCCGGTACGACTCCGCCTTCCGCTTCCTTTTAAAATCTATACGATACTAAAGACTAAAATCCCAAATATTCAGTTTTCTAAAAAATAAGGCACATGTTTTTAACTCCCAGTACCTACTTCAAAAGCCACTTGAACTACGTCCTCGAAGGAACCCTTGTCTTCGGTCATAAATTAATAGACAAGAGTTCCCAAAACCAACCGTCACCAACAGTAAATCCATAAACTTTCACTTTTGAATAGGATCGAGAAAAACATGTGCATCTTAAACTGAAATTACCTTTATTCTAAAAAATGTAACAGAAATTGTTCCCTAAAAATATATACTGGCTCTGACACTATGCTGAAACTTCAAATTTCCTAACTTCAGTTCGACGATAGCCTCTCCCCGTACAACGGCCATTTCCCCCGTAACTGTACGTAAACACACTCTTCTTCCCAGAGGCATCAGCTTCAATCCTTGCACTGAGTTAGCCCGTACCAACGATACCATAGCGCCAATGTCCACAGTCATTCGGATTCCCTTTCCATTGACTTTCCCGTCGATCACCAAACTGTCAGCGGTTCTTCCTAGACTTCTAATGGAAAAAATCCTGGGGGCTCTGTTCTCCCCAGTCAATACTCGCCCCTTAGTATTGACTGATTTTAGTTTTCCTGGTGCCTACGTTCTCTGGATGGTGAACGGGATCGCATTTGAACGCGGCAATCCCGTTTGATGTGGCCATTCCTGCCACATCTATAGCACCTTATGTCCTGGGATCTTCTCTGGTTCTCTGTCTGGTTATTGTTGACTCCCTTGTTTATTAGTAGCTCACATAGTTTGTCGAATTTTCTACACATCTCCTCCAAACTTCTGTGGGTACTCTCGGGCTGTTCCTCTACCGTTACCGATCTTATCTTCGGTCTAGGGATGGCGCTAAAAGCAGCTTCGATTTCCAGCGCCCTGACCAGTGCTTCGCTGCTGGTAGAAAATCGGGATATTTGCAGCGCCCTCTGTAATTCGTTGTCCCTCAGTCCGCTGATAAAGCACTGAGCAGCGAGTTCCTCCCTAAATCCTTCCGGTGCTTCAGGATACGCTAGGTGTACCAGCCGACGTAAGTCTGCTTCAAATTCCTGCAGACTCTCTCCGGACCTCTGCAGGCGTGTCTTGATCTGGGCCTGGTAAAGTTGACGTCGATGTTGGTCGCCATATCTTCTGTCCAGTGCAGCGACCAAAGTTTGGTATTCCTGCTGTTGGGCTGCAGGAATAGTTTGCAGCAGTTCCAAGGCAGGGCCACGCAGCGCGATGACAAGTGCCGCTGCTTTGTCCTGGTCGGACCATCCGTTGGCAGCGGCGGCTGCTTCAAACTGGCGGTGGTACATCGTCCAGGTGGTTTGTCCATCGTAGGTCGGGGCCTTGAGGTTTGCAGTTCCAGGAACGCCAGGTGTCCTTGCTTGTGCCTTGGTCTTCTGTAGGTCCTCTAATTTTTTCATTTTCTGTTGAAGGCGCTCCTCCAGATCTTCTACGGCTTCTTGAAGGTGTATTTCTTGTCTTTTTTCCAGATCTTCGAAGTTCTTTTTAAGACGATTTTGATCTTCTTGTCTTTCTCTATGACGTCGCTCCTCCAAACGAATTTCTAAATTACCTAATATTTTCTCAAGCCGGTCCTGTTCTTCTTGTTTGTCTTGTTGTCGTTGAATTTTCAAATCTTCGAAAATGTTCTCAAGCCGGTCCTGTTTAATTTCTTGATTTTCTAGAATTTTCAGTAAGTGGTCTTGTTCTTCTGCTTTCTCTTTTTCTAGTCGGGCTCGCTCTTCTTCTCGTTCTTTACGGAGTCTTTCTTGATCTTCTGCTTTTTCTTTTCTCATATTCTCCATAAAATCGCCCAATAATTTGCTTACTTCCTCCATTTTCTTCGTTTGCTCCCTTGTACCAACCATAAAAATATTCTAATTCGGTCTAAAAATCTTCCAATCCACTTAATTTCTTCTTAAAATCCTCTTGAATCGCACTTCCGACACCAATTGTTACGGATTCCGTGGGTCCACTATTTAAACTCGATAAAATACTTAACGAATTTATTTGTTTCACTCTGTACACACAACTTATACTATTTACAACACAACTTATGCAACTACTATTACTCTAACGGTATTTCGCGGTATTTTCAAACTTCAGACTAACTTCAGATTTGACTTCAAACTTTTAAACTTTAAACTTGTCCAACTGTCAAAGCGCGGGCCTTATATACCCCCTGGCGGTTGTTTCTAGATTTTTCTAAAGAATTCTATAATTTTCTTTACTTTCTGGCGAATGCGCCAGGTTCCTTCCACATTGCGATTTTTTAGCAGTATGCAGTTATGCAACCAGTAATACACCTTGACAATAGCAAATATGGGCGAAAAGTAAATTTGAATTAAAACTAAAATCTTTAATTGCCATTAGAAACCCTATAAACAACGCATAAAAATATAAATTATTAATTAACCTATACAACATTAGTTTAATGATTATTTTTAGGTTTATTTTTTTAGTTAAAAGTCTTTTAAATTATTGTAGTCTGGCTGATATCAGCTGAGGTAGGTGGATTTTTTCCCATTTACCTCCTTTGAGGAACAATATTTTTGTCAGTGACAAAGGCTTGTTTGCTTTAAAATGATAGTAAATATAATTTCTCCCTAACAGCTGCTAAAGAAGGACCAAGTTGACCAAGGACACTTTCCACTACTTCCATTTCTTCCATACTTGAAATTGAGGCTAATGTTTCAAGAATAACTTTTTGAGCTTTATCCTTACGTTTATTGAGATCTGGACTTATATAAGGTTTGCTCAATTCACAATTTGTATCACTCTCTGATTCAGATATTACCAAATACTCAATGGTGTTTTCTTCAGCAGGTTCTAAAAAGAGAATAGGTAGTAATAAGATAAAATAGTGATTTAAGAGTATACATTAATGCGAAGTTAATATTTTAGCTATTATGGTGGGTTCATACAGCCAAATAAAATAAAATAAGAATAAAATAAAATAAGAAATAAGGAATTCTTATTTGTGTGCGTTCATACAGTCAAATAAAATAAAATAAGAAATATATATTTGCTCATGCGCAGTACGATGAGGCTGGATAAAAGTTAACTTTTACGATTGTTTATAGTAATTTTACTATTTATAGTATATTTATTTATTCGTTGCCTACTATATTATACATTTTACTTATGTGAAATTATAAAATAAATTAAATCCAAACTGAAAATATTTGTAGGTTAGAATTAAGCGTGTGCAAAGCCGTTTTCACATAAAATAAAACAAGAAGTTAAAAGATAAAGACTTCTTATTTTATTTGGCTGTATGAACGCATGTACGGTATCCCATATAACCAACTTTCTTATTTTATTTTATTTTATTCTTATTTTATTTTATTTGGCTGTATGAACCCACCATTACTAGATACCACGCTAAATTAAAAGCAGGGGGCGAATTGTGAAAATTATACAGGGTGTCCGATAAATAAGTGCAAGTATTTTAACAGGTGGTATAGTTCGCCCCAATGACTAAAGAATACAAGGACATGTAACGCCCATACACGGGCTGCAGCAGACTTTGTTAAGTTAGATGCCATCATATTGGAGCCTAAGGATGGGTCACCACCTCGTCAAAAGCGACAATTTCAGCGATTTTTAATAATTTGTTGTGTGTAGTGAACTTTGTATAAACTTTATCACAATGGTGATGTGTTCAGCTTTCAAGTGTAAAAGCCGCAATGATAAGAAAGAGCCAGGAGTTGCGTTTCATAAGTAAATAAACAGTCCACTCCACCTTTTTAGCGTTTTCTTATTGAATTATTTTTCTGATACTATATGTATTTGATATGTACTAATCCTCGATACTAGTTTTGTACCTTTTGTTAACATTTTAATACGATTTTTATCGTAATTAATTAGTATTGATACCATCACCTCCACCATAGGCGTAGTGAAAACATTTATTAAAAATAAAAATATCCCTTCAAACAGCTAAGTTAAGAAAAATATATGTCCACGGCACTGTTTGGTGCCATGGTAACAATTTGGTCTCGGGTGTTATATGTCCTTGTATTCTTTAGTCATTGGTTCGACCCCAGAAATGTGAGCCCCAGCCCATAATTTTTTGTTTTGCGAAAAAAAAATGGTGAACATTTTATATTTTGGCACTTTCCGGAAAATGTTGACTTTTGAGTGCCACTGATTATTCTCGGGAAATTCGTTTACAGTGCATAGAGGCAATCTAGGACAGAATGCAATGTTGCCACCTCCTACATTACCCACATTCTGCATGTTTATAAATTCACAGTAATTTTAAGTGTCTACAGAAAAAATGCGAAAATTAATTTTATTCATTATTATTAGCGTAGATTGCTATACTAATTCAACTTTTGACAGTTGAGTAAACTGAAAAAAATAAATCTTAACAATTATTACAGTTTCTTTTTTCGCCATATTAGAAAATATTTTCAATCGTTTCAATCAAAATATGTCGTTAGTGCTTATCCTTTTGCTAAAAATTTATTATATAGTATTTTTATCCAGCCCCCCCCCCCATATACGGAAACCAAACACTATACATCTACTACATTTCCACATATCTATTAAACTGAACATCAGAAAACTATCACTTGCAAAAAATTATTATTCAAATCATAATAATTTTTAAATACAACAAAATATGTTAAAAAACTTACTTTAGGTTGCTTTACTTTAGGCTTGTGGCATTTCAGTTGATTTTTATTTATTTCGTTATATACAAAATAGCCCCAATTATGACCCCACTGGCAAAACCGGTGCGTAAAACTAAGCTCGCTACCTTAGTTGAACTCATCTAAAAATATTTTTTTGCTGGAATAAATTATAATACAAGTTAGACCTTCTGAACATATCAAAATATTTAGTTTTTTATTTTTGTATTTAGAATTTTCACAAATTATATTTCCTAACACTTGTAGAATAATAATTATATAATAATTTTTTTGTATACTAGCTATTTAAACCCGTGTATTTGTATCTTATATCAATTGTTTACGATATTCTCCGATGGTGGCAGCACCGGCGGAGAATGCACCAAACTTATATGCCATGTCAAAATTTTCTGCAATATACATTTATCTCTGAAATCGATGTTAACCTATATTGAAATTAATCTCTAATATTGAAATTAAATATTATGATCTGCTCAGGACTATGTTAAGTTTTGAAATTAACAAAAGACCTGGATCTGATCGTCTTCCCAGTCTGTTTTTAAGAGAATCTCTCATATTTTATTTTTAATCGCTGTGCATTAAAAATAAAACATGACTGGAGTATCATAAAAAAATTAGAAAAAATCCAACAAAGTGTCTCGTAACAAGTCCAACGCTAATTGTTTTGTTTTGTAAAAATATTATTGCACCTAATAATAAAATATAATAAAGTTTATTCAATATACACTGATTTTTGCAAAGCCTTGGTAGATCAAGATATTCTAATAGATGGGAGGTATATGCCTATGATTTTTTTTACATCGTTCATTATACAGGTAGACCCAGCAAGTGAAATTAAAAGAGAGTTTGTCCAATCATTATGCAGTTTTCTCAGGAATTCTTCAAAGTTCTTATCTTTATTTATTTATTTATTTATTTCATAAACGCCAGAGGCATTCAACAAAAAATACAATTTGAATAGATAATAGATAATATAAAAATTATACAAAATACAGAAATAATAGATTCCAAACTAAAAAAATAATAATGAGAAAAAAAATAACAAAGGCCAAGCATAGTCTACAATTCATTCTTGAAAACAATTACATTTCTAGCACGGTTTTTAAATATACTTAAAGAATTACAAAAATAATCCAAGTCGTATCCATTCACACTTCTGGAAATTCTATTTGCAGGGCAATTTTGTGCATAAAAAGTTGAATATGTTCTTAAGTGCAGCAACAATTGTGACCTCAGATGTCTTGGAGCAATGTGAAATTCGAAATTTGCCAAACAATCTGGTGAATCGATACGATTCGATATTAGTTTGTAGAAAAAACATACAGCCAGATAATCCCATCTAAGCTCCAACTTTTGGAAGTTTAGATACTCTGAAGTCTCAATCATATTCAACAGAATGTTATTCTTACTAAGGAAGAAATTCATATATTTTAAAAACTTTTTCTCAATTTGGAAAAATCTACTTTTATGTGTTTCATAATGTGGCATCCAGATTATGGAAGAGTACTCTAGTGATGATCTTACTAGGCTGTTATATAATGTTATTACTGAGGACGGGTCTAAAAAATCTTTGGTATTTCTAAAAATAAACCCCAAATTCCTGTTTGCCTTCGATATTAAATTGTCATAATGGTTGTTAAAATTTAATTTGTAGTCAAGCGATATTCCAAGATCCTTAACAGTGTACACTCTGATTAAGTTGGTGTTATTAATAGTATACGTTACATCAAACTTACTTTCGCCCCTAATAAAAATAATAAAAGAGCACTTATTAATGTTTAGTTTGAGTTTATTGTCCACACACCAGTCATTGAGTAGATCAATATCACTCTGCAGTTCCATAGAGTCTGAAATAGTTTTTATGTCCCGGTAAATCTTTAAGTCGTCTGCAAATAATAAGTATCGCTAGTAAAATTATTTCCTATATCGTTTATAAAGATACTAAATAAAATTGGTGCAAGATGGGAACCTTGCGGCACTCAGAAAACTGCATAATGATTGGACAAACTCCCTTTACTTTCACCTTGCTGGGTTCTGCCTGTAATGTACGATTTAAAAAAATCACATAAGGGACTACGAATACCATAGGCATGTAATTTTACTATTAGAATTTCGTGATCCACTAAATCAAAGGCTTTACAAAAATCAGTGTATATTGAATGGACTACGGTTTTATCGTTCATAGATTGCGGAACAAAATTTACGTATGGAAACATGTTCGAAGCCGTAGATCTGCCTCCAAAGAAACCATGCTGATTAGTTACAATAATATTTTTAAAACAATTAGTTAATGTTGGAATTAACATTTTTTCAAGTAATTTTGGAATGGCAGACTGAATGCATATTGGACGATAGTTACTGATGAATGATTTGTTGCCGGATTTGAAAACTGGAGTGACAAAGGAATGTTTCCAGTCAATTGGAAATGCCCCAGTAGACACACAGCGATTAAAAATAAAACATAGAGGTTCACAAAGGCTTACTGCACATTCTCTTAAAAACAGATTGGGAAGACCATCAGGTCCAAGTCCTTTGTTTTTTTTAAACTTAACATAGTACTGAGCAGATCATCATATTTAATTTCAATATTAGATAGGTTAACATCGATTTCAGAGGTAAATGTATTTTGCATATTTGAATTTTGACTTGGCTCATAGACATTTCCAAAGTAATCCGCAAACAGATTGCTAATTTCCAACTTATCATATGCAACTTTATTGTCCCAGGTCATTTTGTAAGGTAGCTCCTGACAATAGTTGTTTTTATTTTTAATGAAATTCCAGAATTGCGATGAGTCAGACTTAATACTCTGTTCAGCTCCTTTTACGAAATTGTTATAACAAGTCTTACTTTTAAATTTACAAATTTCGCGCAAAGATGAGAATTCATTACTATGAATTCTCATCTTTGCGCGAAAGTTCATCTCATTAGATGAACATTATTACTATAATGTTCATCTAATGTTTCCTTATATAGTTTATGCATGATCTTTTTCTTTTTGATTGTATTAATTAAGTCTTTATTAAACCATGATGGAAAGGTACTTTTTTTAAACAGTATTTAGGGATACACTTCTCAATTACATCATATACAATTTCGTAGAAAACCGACATAATTTCGTCAATATTTTTTAAATTATAAATCACTGTCCAATTTATATCTAATAACATATTATTCAATTGTCCATAATTCGCTTTTTAAAATTATAGAAATATTGTTCTTTATCAGGACACACTCTTGATGTTGTTTCTATAGTTAGTCCTATTGCCGGGTGATAAAATCTTCATTTACGAGGGAGTACATTTATTAACTGTTGTTTGAATGTTAGTTAGACAGAGATCAAGTATGACACCAAAAGTGTTTCTAATATAATTTAATTGAAATAATCCTAAAATTGACAACTCATCACAAAAGGCAATTTCTTTTAAAGAAGTGGCATTTTTTGCACATTCGTCAAGAGGATCCCACTGTAAATTCGGTAGATTATAATCTCCGAAGATACAAGTTTTACAGTTAGTATATTTACTCATAATATGACTGACGTCTGACATATGATTTGTGTAACTTTCTAGGAGAGTTTGGTGGTATATAAGTACAACCAACTATGTATTGACAACGGTTATATGTAAAATTAATAAAAACTTGTTCAACATTATTGTTTGTGGAAGATGTTTCCATAGCATTAAAAGTGTTCTTACATGCTATTAGGACTCCCCCTCCGCGATTTTTAGAGCTTGTAGTGCTGCTCCTATCTTTCCTGAATACGGAATATGAAGAGTCCACCAATTCACCATCGTTAAAATTCTCGTTCAGACCACTTTTACTCACACAAATAATATCATAATCCGAAATTGCAACTGATAACAAAAAGTCCCTTGTACCCATCTTGTACCCATATTATTTAGTATCTTTATAAACGATATTACAAGTCTCAGTTAAATACTTTAGTCGGGTACTTCTAATTTCTGCCATATCGAGCGCTGCGATCGGAATTTTTAAAATCAACTGAAATGCACCAAGCCATACAGATAGAGAATACTTTAAAATAATTATCACAATGTAAATTTAGGCATATTGACTTACCCTTTTCATGTGATGAGATTGTCAGTGATGAGTCAGTACCAGTGTGAAGGGTTCCTGATATAGAAGAAATGTTATCATCAACATTGTGGTCTATTGATGGACCTGTTAGTTCTTTACCCTGAACTTCTGCTGTAAAATAATCTATATAATGCTGAACAGATGGTTCTGGCATCGTTTCTATCCGTTGAATCTTTGGAGAAGACTTATATGTGGAATCTATATAATTTGATTTATGTTCCATTAGAGAGAATGGCAAAGTTACGGAATCATTGGTCTTTTCAAGTAGGTCTATATTTGGATTATTAGTAATTTCCGTTAAATTGTAATTCAAAGGATCTGTAAAACCAAAAAATGTTAATTATTTTATACAGGGTGAGTCTTAAAGAAGTGCAAACATTTTTATAGGTAGTATATTTCGATCCCACAAATACGCCTATGAGGTTCTTTCCGCGATTTTTTTAAATTTAGAATTTGGTGGCTTCTGTTTCGCTCTTGTTTAAACCAAAATATCAATCAAACAGATAAAAAGAAAAAAAAACAGCCAAAACAACCCAAACCAACCCGACCTAACCCTAACCAACCCATACAAAACCAACCAATCAAAACAAATCAATACAAAACCAACCAATACAAAACCAAACCAAACCGACCAACACCAAACCAACTCAACTCGAGCCAAACACAAACCAAAGAAATGAAAATACACTTAGAGCGTGTTTTCTTTTTTTTTCGTATTAAAAAAAAATTAAAACCTATGACGTCATTTTTTCCCTAAACAAAAAAGATGCATGAAATTCCGCATAATTTACTAGCTGATCTGACAACCATGTATCAATCATATACGTATTACTTTTTACAAATATACTCAGGGTTCCCTATTTAACCCCGTGTGCAATTTCTGTGCCGTAAGAAAAAGACAACATAACCCAGCTCCATATTAAAACTGCATAAGTCTATTTCACCCTATGATATGGATTGAACTGCGATTGCGCCAAACTCCGATTGATTGTTGTTTTAGTTCTGTTTGGATTACTTTTTATTTGTGCGCGTAAAAGAGTGATTTTGTTTAGTTTATTGTTTCCAACTATTTTTTGATATTTTTCCAACTCCCATGATAATGTGTTATAAATAATAAAAATATAAATAAAATTGAAGGTTAGGGGAAATGTCAGTCAACCACTTCCCTTTAAAAACATCGACCAATGAAAACTTCTTCAGGTGAGGCATGCTCAGTTAAATGAATATCCGGGTGAAACAGACTTATGCAGAATTCCATATTGTTCTTTCACTGTTTGGGCTTCACTTTTTGGAGATTAGGCTGAGTATATTTGTAAAAAGTAATACGTAGATGGTATCAATTCGCAATATATGTCAAAATTCGACCTTCACTACTGTCAGCGTAAACATAGAAATGCATAGAAAGGGATATGACGGATATAAAAACAAGTTCGCGACTCTTTCAATCGGTTATGGAATTTGCCCTCTAATTTGCTATAAAAATCAAATAACAACATTTTTAAGAATATTTTTTATGTTAAACGTGTTTTTCCGCATCAGATTTTAGTCAAAGAATCCAAGAAGTTCATTTTAAGATAACAGAAACTTCATTTTCTAAGAAAAATCGTGTGTTAGGATAGTTCACCGAAGAGTTTCTTTTATTTATGTTTATATTGATGTTATTTTCTTTTATTTATGTTATATTGATAAATATGATAATAAATGCGGGAAGTTTCTTGAAGCTTGAAAGTAAGAAATAGTTCTTTTTATATTTTTTTGGTATGTGGTGTTTTGTTCTTGTTTGTTTTGTATTAACACATACCGTTTTTTAATAAAATAACTCGATTACATTTTTTTGTACCAACTTATTTCTTTGTAAAATAAAATAAAATACTTTGAAATTAAAATAACAGACACATCTATCACTGTCAAGAAAGCTGTCAAGGATCTTGTCGTTGGACAGACTATAATTATTGTATAATACCATAGACAAACAAATAAAAAGAGACTGGCAAATCCCATGGTAGAGTGGGACCGCGTTCCCGTAGCGCAACTCAGAATAACAATTTTGAAACCAATTAGCAGGACCATGGCAGGACGTACGTCTTTATTGCTATCTTTCATTATTATGTGTGCTTTATATGAAAAAGAAAGAGATAGGTAAAAAACCAAGTTAAAAACGTATCGTAAGACATTATCGCACATTTTGGCTGGCGGAAAATTTAAATTAACCTTTATTAGTACCGTGAAATGGGGTGACTTTGCCTCTTGGGGTGACTTTGCCAAATTCCGTCCGAAAATATGTTAGACGTAGCCGTAGCCACTATTTGAAAAGAACGCGTTATGTGTTATTGGTAAATTATGGGTGAAGGTGCCCACGTCTCGGAACGTCGCTAAACGCTTGCCGTCAGTTGCGATGTAGCACAGGTGGATGACACTTGCAATGGTTGAAAACTTGACTACAAGCGATTTTCTAGGAATCTTCCTTACCGATAAATTATTGACAAGAGTGACAGATAAAGCCTTGACGTTCTTTCAGTATTCCAGTTCATCTCTTTTTCTTTCTAAAGTGTGCGTTGAAAGGAGACAAAAACAATTTTTGGTGACCCATAATTTGTTATTCGAACACCACTTTTCTCCTTGTCGGGTCGTTGACGCTGACTTGTCGCCATTTTATTTATTTTTGTTTACACGCTGTATTTTGCTTTGCAAATTTAATACATAAATTATTTAGGCAAATATATAGGTTTTTAATAAAACTCCTCGGACTAACGTGTAGGTAAGTGTTGATAATTTTTTTTTCATCTTAACATGCTCATTGTCGTTCTCCTGATTTTAGGTGACAGAAAAGGATCATCAAATCAACTTGAATTTTATATTTTCCTTCCTAAATATCAACGAGATGAGCCATCGGAAGAAAGGGACCATAGTACAAAACATAAAGGTGATCTTTTTTCTTTCCACTTGGGATATTGAAATTATTATTATTTATTGTATTTTTTTTTTTTTTTTAATAATAAATTAAAAGCATCCCAGAGGAAAAAAGAGGCAATATCTGTATGTACTCTCTCTGATATTTGTGAAAATTACAGCAAAGTATTGTTGTAAATGTCATCTTTTGATCGACCTGAAAACTTCAAGCAAAAAGATGACACTTTCAACAATACCCTGACAGATATCAGAGACGACACAGGTTTTTCCTCTCTTTTTCCCCTGAAATACTTTTTGTGAATTTATTATTCTTTGTTTATCTAGATTTCTCAGAGCACTATGAACGAACTCAGCTTGTATGTTTGAAATAATCGTCCAGTTGGCTTAAAAATTATGATCGAAGACATTTCCCAGATAATTTCATTTCCAATTATGATATATCTTTTATTTCTAAGCCATCTATGACGCCATTTTTCTTTTCAGTTTTGTTATAATTAATTTTTGTCTCTTGATCTACTTGTAACATTATTTTTTAATTTTTATTAATTTATTGTGGTGAAATTAATTTCCGTTGTATATTTGATATTGATATTAAACACATTTTAAAAAATAGTTTAAAAAATATTTTGTGTTTTTGTGTATGTCATAATTAAAATAAATGAAGAAATAAAATTTTTATTTTTTTAAACTTCCCGCCATGCGTGACAATTTAGTCCGTAGTTCCTACAAGCGAAATTGGGGGCGCTAGTAGCAGTAGACTTGTCAACAGTGTCAAATTTAAACGTCAATTTCACTTTCCAATATTTAGCAAGGCGCTCGCACTTCTTCTTGTGTATGTGTTTTATGATGTAGCATTTACAGTGCTACGAAGCCAAATCTGTTTTTAAAGCCTATTTTGTGCGTTTCAAACATCGACGTGGCTGCAATAGTTAACCACGCTATATTGAGGTAAGTATTATGCAGAAGTTCGTTATAATATTGAGGGTGATGAAGCATATTGTTGTAAATATAATCTCAAAGGTTAGGAAAATAAGTGGCAACATTGTTTTATAACGTATATATTTGGCTTTGGCATAATTATGGAGGCTAGAAGGAGGAGGCGAATCGAACGCAAAAATTATGGGCCCAGTTTTTGAGATCTAAATGAAGTTCGAAAATTGCCGTTAGGGGCGCATGTGATCCGACAGATTGAGAAATACACAGCTTCTTATGGCAAGAATTACTATTTTGTTACAAATTATAGAGTTCAGTTAATATTTAGCATATTTTTACCAGATTTACCTTTTAGAAACGTGTTTTTTCTAATTGAACAATGTGCGTGGCTAAAATTATGAATACAAAACCTTAAATTTGAGTTTGAAAAGTAAGTTAGAAGTTAGGTTATATCAGATGCCGGTTTTAGATATTCTTTTTCTGAGTTGTTATTATAAAATTGTTTCATTATATGGTTCTTTTAGTGCATACACGACCGAAGAAAAATACAAACTGCTAAAATAAATCTTCCCTATAACTGTTGCACAAAAAAGATAGAATTTCCAGCAACAAATATCACCAGTTCAACCTTTGATTTGATGTAAACCAGATGTAAACAGTAATTGTTTCTGATGACAAATGCGAATTAAATAGTTTATGGTGTGATTGTGTTAGTGTGATTAATAGTTTTCATAAAACATTTGAAATTGATATGTTTACAAGCAAACGAAGTGATATCATTTAATAAACATTAAAACTTTCGTAACAAACTAGTAGTGGTTTTACCTCAATTAACAGAAACCGAATCACGAAAATTAAAAGTATTTTATCAGGAATAACTTCAATGGAAAGTGAAGATGAACACTACTGTTGCACCCTTTGATCAGTGTTATCTATCTCATAACTTTTTATAGCTGAAACCAGAAAATAGGTACATTGTTGAAATGTTTCCCGTGTCCAATAGTGTTTTTCTTTAGATTTTCTGAATTTAAGTTTTAATGTCATTATCAAAGTTTTGCAAATTGTCACTGTTTCGTAGACAATTAAATTCAAGATGTATTATATTCAATGTCACCTAATATTATATTAGGTACTATATATATATATATATATATATATATATATATATATATATATATATATATATATATATATATATATATATATATATATATATATATATATATATATAGCAGCAGCAGGTATATATATATATATATATATGGTATATATATATATATATATATATATATATATATATATATATATATATATATATATAGAGAGAGAGACTGGTCTCTCCTCTTCTGCATCTCCCTTCTCCCACTTTCGATCGCACTTCGGAACACACGCGGATACAAATGTGGAAAGCCAGGAATCAGAGGTCACAAGGTCACACACTTATTTTATATGGATGACCTAAAGCTGTACACCGC